CACCCTGTATATATATATATCTTATTAATACAAAATTTAGCAATGTTTGTTAACAATATATCTTACATAATTCTTTATTTATTTTTATTAATGATAGTGAATTTATCAATTAGATTTTGTAACTATAGTTGCGTCTTTGCATTCAGGAAATCAGAAATAATGAGTAAGTATAATTAATGTACACTATATTTACATATATCATATACACACTTCATTATATTGTATGTAAGTTATAATTGAATGATAAAACTTATCTATTTCATCTGTTATATACCATATTGCTACAATCATCTATTTATTATATTTGTACTTTTAATCATCAGGAATATTCTCTAGTCCCTATAAAAAAAGTAATTAAATATAAATAAATAAAACTATACATTTAAAAATTCATATAAAATATTGTATTTTACGAATATATTAACAAGTTACCCTATTTTTCCATGGGGCTCCATCTACGCGACCATCTCTTGTAAACATATGACGATCCCATGGCTGTCTCATATCTCTGCGCATTGGCTGAAAAGAAAAAGTCAAAGAATTAACATTTCAATTCCAGAAAAGGAATTTGTATTACAAATTCTTTTGATCTTTTCCAAAGTTTTTTTTCATGATTTTAGCTTGTTTAAATAGCATCAGACTAAAATGTAGCGAAGTACTCTCGAAAAGATTTTGCAACAATTATAAAATTTGAATCATCTGAATTCCATCAAGTTCTACAATTGTTGATGTTAATGCTCAACAAATTGAACATTTTATTTCTAAAAAAATCTCTTTTTCATAACAAAATTGGAACAATCCTTAAAGAATAATTAATATTTTTAGGATTTTTTTTTCAAGATACAAAATATATACAGGTACAATTTTTGATCTAATGATAATATATATTGATTTGATAAAAACTATTATAAAGTTCTTAAATTTTATGAATCTAGCATTATTATTACCTAAATACATTTTATTATTACAATTTTATTTTGATTTATTTAAAAGTGTTTAGCTTGAAAGTTGTTAACATATATTTACAATTAGGGGAATTACTCCAGGGGTTTTAAACTATTACTTGTTTATATATCCCGTTTTTGTCATAAAATTTATACCCCAAGGATAAGGTGTTCCTTAAGGATTGTTCCAATTATTATGAAAGAGGGATTTCTTAGAAATAAAACGTTTAATTTGTTGAGTATCAACATTGATAATTGCTACAAGTTTACAGTCGAGAGGTTATGTCACATAAAACATTTGCGTACTTACGTTTCCTAAAACGTATTGATTTATATAATAAGTTGCCCATTGAGGTATTATGGGTAACAAGCCTATTACTACCATCGATGGAATTATTTCATACCACATGGCTGTTGAATTTTCACAGAATAATAGTAAATAATAGTTCTTGAAAACTCTGTTACGAAGCCAGATGTTATAACGAAGTCAGATGTAACGTAACCTGTAATCTACGCATGCGCCAATGTACTGGCAAAGATTTTCTGCAGGCTGCAGCTGAACTTTATTTAATAATCATTTTTTCTCTTTTTTTCCAGATTTAATCATATGCCTATCCCGTTTTAAGTACAAAGAATAAAATTAAAAATTCGGTTTATTAATACGTTCGCGTGAAAATTTTATGTTTCAAGTTCTTCGGATATTATTTATATGATTTCACGAGTGTTTGTAATAAAAAATTAATTAGGGAATAATTTAATTTATACCGTTCGAATATCGAACATTCTTATCGGTGACTGTCAGTGACGCATTTCATTTTTATCACCAATAAGGCCCAGTTCCACAACTCACAGTTAATTCTTAACCAAGGTTCAACTTATTCATTGTCTCTTTCTAATTCTAGAATTGGAAAGAGATGAGAAACAAGTTGAACCTTAAAAGTTAACCGTGAGTTGTGGAACTGGGCTTAAGAGATCGGATTCCATATGAATTGCCGCAATGATAATCCGCATGATAATTGTAGGGTAATTAGATACGCTTTGCCGAAACTTCCTCAGAGGGCCGTAGCAACCGGACGAAGAGCTCAGAATTCAGATTGTTCAGAAGGCGTTTAGGTTTAGACGGTTTAGACGCTGATTAGACACATAGTGGATATGAAGAGGTCTAATCGGCTATGTCGAGTCCAGTGATTAATATTCTAATCATTTCAATCGTGTAACGATTTTAGTAAGTGTTTTTCGTACTCCTCTGAGAACTTTATTTAGGACATTTAGATAACGCTGATGCGAGAGATTGCGTCCTGGCCGGCCGGCGGTGACGCGACACGTGTTATCGACAAATATATATATCGCTTGAAATAAGGTACGCTGTCGCGGGTTCTTTAGACCCGTTCAAATTCATACGCGTTCACGATTTTTAAATAATTTCAAGAGAATATGGTACGTACATACGACAGTGATCTTGAGTAATCTGTCTTGTTGACACAAAAATTGCATTAGCTGAATTACTGAGTTGAGATCTATCATCAAGTAATCATGCGATGAAACGAGACGTTCCACGTGTTATGCAATCTCTATTGTGCTCTGTTGCAGGTTAAACTAGGAAATATTCAGCCACCAGAGATGCTGCTGCAGATATATTCATTGTGCATTTTGACATTGGATCTCGTGACACTCGTTATCGGAGTGTGCTACACAATCCTAATCGCTGTCTACAGAATGTTTAGACCACCACCATTGAAAAATCTCAACTATGAAGTGGCTATGGTAACATTGTTACCATCTACTTCTTGTCAATGCAAACCTTTTCACGTTACAAAGGAACGTCATAATTTAGGTCGTAGGTGCAGGACGTGGGATAGGCAAGGAACTTGCTCTACAACTGTGTCAATTTGGTGTCGTGGTTGCTTGTGTAGATATTAACGTAGAAACTTGCACTTCTACTGTGCAACGTGCTCAACAGATACATGGAATATGTAAAAGCTACCAGTGCGACGTGAGAAATAAGGATGCAGTACGTACAAATACCTACATTTCTTTTCTTAAATATAAATCATTTGGTCTCTGATACGTTATTAATATGTCGATATTAGGTTGCTCAAATTGTGAATCTTATTAAGATCGAATTAGGAAACATTACAATGCTTTTCCATTGTTGTGGTTTGCCCAGCCCACGTACATTAATACAAGAATCGTCAGAAGTAAGAGACACTATGGACTTATCAGTCATCAGTCATTTTTGGGTGAGTAATACTTTAATATATATCTTGATATAAAAATCTTGATATAATCAAAGTTCTTTCTTTCGTAGTTGTTGGATTCAGTTTTGCCATGTATGCGACAAGCTGGTAAAGGCCACGTTACAATCCTCTCATCCGTTGCTGGTCTTTCTAATGGATCGAGTGGTCGAGGAACCCGGGTTCCCTTATCTACTGCACAATTTGCGGTTCAAGGATTAGCAGAATCCTTGCATATGGAATTAAGACATTCAAATAGCAACATCGTCGTTTCATTGGTTCATGTTTATCCCTTTATTGTTGGAACGGAAGTTGCAAAAGACATACGTTTTAGGTGTCCAGTATTTGTAAACTATACATTTCTTTCTTATATGTTCGTTTTTATTATTATCTATGCGACGGTTTTGAATTATTCTAATTTCTCAAAATGCGTTTTGCAGAATACCGAGTTACTTTGGTACAATGCCTGCCACAGAAGCTGCTAGACAAATTTTAGATGGTGTTCGTCGAAACTACGCGGAGTTTAGTGTACCAGGATATTTGCTTTATCTCGGGCATGTACTTAGGTAAATTCGCTACTTATATATGTCTCTATTCATATACGCAAGAGGAATGACCTAATATATAAGTTTTTTATGTTTTTAGGATTCTTCCAAAAAAGGCATCTTTTATGTTACGCGATTTGTTAGACACTGGAGTTGACTTTGCGTAATGTTAATATAAATATATATGTTAAAATATATATATATATGTTTTACAATTATATATATAATTATGTATATTTTATTACTACAATGTATGTGTAAATCACGATTGCATTTAATTATTCTCAAGATATAATGGTTTACTTTTTAATGGATTATCAATCTTAAAATTCTTGCTGCATAATTTCTCAGCGAAACATGTTTGCTAATATTTTTTATATTTATAAAATTGTTTTGTATAATATATATTTTACTTACTTTTTAAGAGAAAGAATGCAACAAATGTGAGAATTTATGTAACAAAAAATATTTTATTATTTTTTATACATTGCAGATTATATATGTTCATGAAAAAAATTGTTTATTACTTTCACATGATAATATGATGTTAAGTGCACTCGATTCTATTTTACACACGTTATACTTTTTAAACTTAAGCATAATTATTTTAATTTTTGACATATATGACATATATGTAATGTTGAGACTGATTTCTAATTTAGTCTTTATACATAGTAAATTCAATTGTAAAAATAATACTGTTCTTTTATTGCAATTAATGATTAAATCATATTTTTTTATCGCAATTCATGATTAAATCATATTTCTAGGTAATACTCGCAAGGCAATAATTTTCAAATAGATATGTATGATAAAACAAAACTGTTTAATTTACAACACCTGAGCAGGCAAGAAAGAAATGCAGACCGAAATAATCATTCACGAGCGTATTTGTATGTAAAATTTATATATAAGAGACACATTAAATATAAAAGGAAATATTTTCTGCTAAGTCAAATAACTGAGGATGTATCTAATTTTCTTTTTCCTAAAATTTTATGTATTTTATATAAAATAAATTTAACAGAGATAAATTAAATTGTATTTTAACTGACTTACACGATTGATATTCTAAAATTTATTTCTTTATATATACATAAAAATTAGAATCTATAATCAGAATTAAGAAAATTGTTATTCATAGAAAACTGAAATATATATTTTTTAATATTAAATTATCGATAATATATGTATATTTTAATATTACAAATATTAATTAAATACGAGAAGTCAAATAGCATCTATATATTCTGCCATATTAGATATCGAAAAATGTATTTAGATTTAGATATTGAAGATCAAAAAATAAAATAGATTTATAAAACCAATGATAATATATAATGTCAAACTAATTAAAGAAAATTATATATATCGAGAATCTCAATTGCTGTGTTTAGATTTTGTTATTTTAAATTAAATCATCTATAATTTTAGTTTTTGACTCACACATTTAACGCTAAATATTAGTCAATTGAAATACTTAGCGTCAAATGAAGATATAAATATAAACTATTATCAACAAAAGATATAACTAAATGTCGCTTATAGCGATGCAAAAAAAAATATTGTACATTTACAAAGCAAATTTATCAATGTTAAGATACTCGGTAAATGATGTTTTTGGTCCTAACACTGGAATGACTTTATGCTAATCTAAACCGGGAGGGGCTGGTTCCGAAAGATCAATTTCCATTGTATCTGGTTTTTGATCATTCGAATAATCACCACGTGGTGCCTGAAAGAAATTGATGGAAGAGATATTTTTTTCGAGAAAATACCGCGTATTTATTTTAAAGAATTATATTATAAAGATAGGGCTCAAAATATCGTTCCTTTATATACAGGCATCTTTACTCACAATATCAAACTCATCGAGCATGTCACAGGGCACTTTACCCTGTATGACATCCATTATTGATTGCGGAATGTGTGCTTTCTGAAAAAAAAAAAAAAAAGAAAATATACGATATTAAATCTTGGTAGAATATCATCCAAAAAATTTTTAATTATATTTATATATATATATATATTTTATTTACAATCTTATTTTAATATTTATTTATCGAATAATGAAGATCACGCCTAATTTATATCAATAATATAAAGAGAATTTCGGTCATATTCAACATGTGTAGAGTATATTAAAAAATATACTTTAAAATGTGCTACGAAATTACTTGATTCTCAGCAAAAGCTTCAACGTGGGCCAGCAAAGGAGCACGTAAATTGTTTGCCATCCGAAGAGCCTCTGCTAACTGCGCCGGTGGTAATTGTAAAATAACGGCGAAACTTTGTGGCTGCGTGCGTTCGCAACATTTCACAAAACCTTCCCACACTTTCGGCTGTTTCCACACTTGCTTCAGAATCAGTCGTTGAAGTATGTTCATAACAAATCCACTTAATCTGGGATAAAGGGCCAAGCTTTGTATGACTGTACGCATTAATAATGTTGGTAAAGGTGTCATTTCCATAAGATGTTGCATCACAACGGCGACCGTTTCCTGCGTGTACGCTTGTTTCTCAGCAAAACAAAGAGACGTTGCTGCATACGAAAGAAAAAAATCCGTAAAATTTATCTTAAACTTTCTCTCGAGAAAAATAAATATTTCACGTAAGAAATTGGAAAGAATAAGGGCAATAGGAGTTAGGCGTAGAAGACGTCGCGCAAATAATACACCCATAAAGCGTAAAACTTCTTTATTCTACTAAACGCGCTTACATGTTTCGGCTCACTTTTGAGCCTTCTTCAGAGACAATACAAACATATATAAACTGTGAATAAAAGTTATCTTGTCATGGTGAGCTTCCCTACATCGAGAATATAAATGCCAGAAATTAAACCTAAATAAGAATGAAAGAAAAAGAAAAAAAGAAAGGAAATATTGGAAATAACGAAATAGAGAATATGGACAACTAATTTAACAAAAAACTTTAAGATTATAATTAATCCTTATTTTCGGGACAAGATAACTTTTATTCACAGTTTATATATGTTTGTATTGTCTCTGAAGAAGGCTCAAAAGTGAGCCGAAACATGTAAGCGCGTTTAGTAGAATAAAGTTTTACGCTTTATGGGTGTATTATTTGCGCGACGTTTTCTGCGCCTGACTCCTATTGCCCTTATTCTTTCCAATTTCTTTTGATTTATAAGGAGTCTTTGTTAGTTTGATTTGTTATACGGATTTATTTCACGTAAAATAATTTACCCTTAATGACGGTTTTTAATTCAGCCTTGCTTGGATCTATACTATGTAGAGCTATCAATAATTCCGCAGGCGTAATAGGCGATGTATGAGGAACTCCACTGTCATTATTATGTGTCCCGAGTAACCTATTAAACACCTGAAAAGAATAAATTTATTATGCTTAAGAAGGCAGCAATTAAAGTAATATTTTAAATGCATTATTTACCTCTTTTACAACAATAGGATTTAATTTGATTAATTTTGGTAATGCGGCGATTACTTCTTTCTTTGTAAGTCCATTCAGGACAGGTATTAAAAATCTGACATCGGAAACTCTAGTTTGATATAACTCGCGTACTCTGGCTACTAATTCTGCGCTTGGGGCAGCTGCATACACAAATACCATAATATAAAACACAATAGACAAAATACAAATTTTAAAAAATATATATTTTAAATAATAACATACACTTTTCTGTAAGAATATGTATGATCCTTGTGACTAACGTTTCAGACCCTTTTGGACAGTTTTCAACAAGTGCGAGGAGTTGTGGACTACCCATACCTAAAGATCTCACTGGCCCTTCTACTAGTCTTAATACAATACGTTTCACATCTGCTCCCATTGACGTATATACCCTAGCTAATCTGTTATTTATTAAATATACAATATATAGTATACAGGATTTTCACACGAATATATCTTATATATGTATATTTAATAATTAAAAAAGAAAAGTTTTATATCACTTACTCATGAATCAGATCTTGATGTTCACTGAGAAGAGCAAGATACAATCCTAAGCAGGCACGTGTAGTTGATTCGGACCACAGACTCTCGATTTGCGGTCTGCCTCTATCTTGTCCGAAAACAATCTCCGGTGGATTATGAAGGCGTAAAAAGCCTAAATATAATACTGCGTATTCCTCGATCAGTTTGCTTAACTCTGCTCGGCTGTATAACTGACAAACTAATTGTATTGCAGCTTCTCGTATCTATTTTAAATGTATTATAAAATTTTACTTCATATAGTATCAATACGCACATTTTTAAAAGTATTATACAACATTATATATCAATTTTTAATCTTACTGTATTGTTTTCATGTCCAGTATGGCACAATAAGACATTTAAAAATACCAATTGTTTGGTTGGTCTACGCACTACCATTTCTTTCAGAAGCTGCAATGGTGCAAGACCTCTAGTTTCGTCAGATGATACCATTTTTAAAGCCTCTACAGCATCTTCTGTTATTAATGGTGCTTCCAAATAAAGCCTTTTACAAGAAAGTTTTGCAAAAAGTCAGTGATCAACATAGATGTTTATACATACTTTTATATTTCATTCTGCGCGCGCGCGTATATGTTTTTTCTAAATTTAATATTACCTGGATAACAAAGCATCACGATCTTTACCCTGAATCAAATCAATAGCTGAAACCAAAGTGCACAATAAAAAATTATATGCCTGATGTGGAGCTTCTTGTGGTTTTGTACATAATGTAGTCCGCCTTTGAAATCCTTGTAGCAATGCATATTCTTCATATAGCCAACCTAATGCTAAATCTAATCGATTTCGCATGTCATCAGTAATATAACGTAAAACAGCTTCTTTAATGTAAGGATTGAAAGTGGCTGCTAGTGTAGTCAGAATCTTGGATCTGTAATATACAGTATAAAGAGATAAACTATTAACTATTAAATACAACATAAATATCTGCGTGCGTGCGTGCGTGCGTGCGTGCGTGTGTGCGTGTGTGTGTGGTGTCATATATTAGGCGAATTTTGGCGTGCTTCTGGTATAGCAATTAAGAACTTTCACACATATAATAATTTATGCTGTTATACCTTACAGTAGCTACACCACCAAAAACTGCAGTCTTTTCTGAAAGTAATATCCTATTGACTGCCATCAGTAACATTCGTTCTTTAATTTCCTTCGGAAGTGGTTTTGTCACTTCGACTAATTTCAACGCCTTCGTACGATTTCTGGCTTTTGCAAGAGATTTCTCATGAGCTTCTAATGACGCTTTCGCTTCTTTCTCTTTTTCCCGATCTTTTTCACGTTTACGCTCCCTCTTTGCCTCGGCTACGCTAATTGTAGGATTTTTAATTAAGTCTTCCATTACGGCATCTTCTTCCTTATCTCTTTTATTCTTTTTTGCTTTAGTCTGTTTAATTTGTATTGCTAGAAGTTTAGCAATTGTTTGACGTTGTATATTAATATCAGTAGTTGCTGTGGGTTGATATTCCCTTTGAAAAATTGTAGTCATAGTATCCGGAACCCATGCCTGTTAAATATCGTTCAATAATACACAATGGTAATTTAAAGTTTATTTTACGATATAGGTTAATATACAATATAATTTGTAATCGTACCATACTATCCATCACCAAATCCGTTGCAATTTCTACACTGAGTCTCTCTGCAATAAAACTTTCGGAAAGTTCAATTAAGTCTGGTAATTTAGGCGCAGGAACAGAAGTAGCTTCTGCTTCATCTATTATCACTTCAACTTTTACTCGTTTCGCAGCAGTAGCAGCTATCTCCTTCAATTAATAAACAAATCTTTAAAAATAATATGCACAACAAAAATGTATTTACTTAAAAATTCATATATATACCTGTTGACGTTTTTTCATTCGACGGACATCTTCTGGTTTTGGATAAGCTTTAATAATTTCCTGCTCTTTCGCTCCAAGTTGAGTCAACTGTTTAGCAATAGTTGAAGCAAACTCTATACTAGCAGGGTGTTTCATTA